GATGGTTGGATGGATGTTGGATGGATGTTGGATGGATGTTGGATGGATGGTTGGATGGATGTTGGATGGATGGATGGATGGATGGATGGTGACCAACTACAAACACCTGGAAGTGACTCTCAGTGAGAACTCCATGAAATTTTGTTGAAAAGATCCGTTGACTTCGGACTTTCTCAGCAAGCAGAAGAAAGATTTATGGAGGACTTGTCCAACAGGTGAAAGGTCTTTCTTACACTTGTCTTCAAATATCCAAGGGTGTTCCACAAGGCTCTGTCCTACGTCCTCTTCTTCTGCTTCTGAGGAGCTTAAAGCAGCTTTTAATGTGGGCCAGACCTTTGTTCAAGCAGGTAGATCTCACCGAGATTAAAATTCTATGTTTTAAGAGAGACCTGACCAAGAATGGCAGCAGCACACAAACATTACGAATCATCAAATCTTTCAAAGCACTCTTAAAATACATCGTGGTAAAGAAAAGAACAGCAACAGAGAAAACTCTCATGAAAGTCAAACAGGACTGAAACAGAATTCAGTCCAGATAAAATATTAAACTGTTTTAAAATGACTTGAAATGACTCGGAGAGACCGACTCCTTCAGCTTCAAGTCTGTTTACACTCGACTCCAGTCTGAGCCGACTGCAAGGAGTTCTTCTGTGACTGAACGTCGGCTACGCCCCATGAAATGAACTCATCTGGCCACGTTCAACACGACACAAGTCCATCATGGAGACAGGGAACTTTAGTCCATCTAGTTCAGACAGACAGGACAATGTTCAGACAGACAGGACAATGTTCAGACAGACAGACAGACAGACAGGACAATGTTCAGACAGACAGACAGACAGGACAATGTTCAGACAGACAGACAGGACAATGTTCAGACAGACAGACAGGAGGACAATGTTCAGACAGACAGACAGGAGGACAATGTTCAGACACACAGACAGGACAATGTTCAGACACACAGACAGGACAATGTTCAGACAGACAGACAGGACAATGTTCAGACAGACAGACAGACAGGACAATGCTCAGACAGACAGACAGGACAATGTTCAGACAGACAGAGAGACAGGAG